ACGATGGTAGCATCCAAAAGACATCAGGAGTTATACTGGTTCAGGCCGGAGCCCTACGTCCAGTCTCAGAGATGATCGAGTGTGTGTTCCTCGCTTGAATGCTCTGAAGTCCTTACAATGGGGGTGCAAGAATGGTGGAAGAGGTAGGAGAGCTAGAGCTAGAAGATGGACTGTCTGAATGAGAACTTCGAGAGTCCAAAGATATTAAGGAAGGGCGCCTTGGCTGCCCTTATATAGAATTCGGGGCCAGGTCACATACAAAGAAGAAGGTTCTCCCTACCGATGGGTTGTGAGCCTGAGAGAGGCAACCTCGCTAGCTTGGCTTGCAAGTAACGCCGTCTTGTGGTTCACGTCCGGGCGTGGTTGTCATCATGGTCTTGTGTCCACGTCGCAGCATGGTGTGACGTGGTGCTACATTGCCAATCCTGGCGACACTGTGGGCATGGTGGTGTTTCGCCAGCCGTCCTACGCGACGTGGTCTCGCTATGGCCTTCGTCATCGCCTCCTAATCTCCTGGGGGCATCGTACATGAGTTGGTAGCCGCCCCCAGGTCGTTGATCGTCCTGCTGCCTATGGAGTTGGTGGCCACGATCCTAGGCGCTGGGGTTGTAGCCTGTGTTTGCTTAGGTGGCCTTTAAGGTCAAGGCCACCGTCGTGGATCCCATCCCATAGTGGGTGGAAGCGTACATATGTCTCGTTGGGCCATATCTAGACGGTGGGTTATCGTACTGATCGTCACCGCTCGGCGGTGTTGTCTTGTCTCCGTTGCGTGGCACAGGGGTGGTGTCTGACCGGGCTGAGGAGACTGTTGTCCCCTCGGTCCTTGCAGGGTCAATACAGGGGGCCTTCTCTTATCATAGGAGGCACGCTTGGCGGGGCTCGATCTCTCCCCATTCCTCCTAGGGGTCGGGACGGTGGAGAGGTCATGAGTTGTTGCGTGGCGTGCGATGAAGGCGGAGGGAAGGCATCATGGCCGACCCCGACCTTAGTGTTTGGCCTAGGTCTGCATAGCTTAGTTGGGCTTCGATCGTTTGGGCTTATACTAGCTGGCATACCATGGGCCGCCCAAGCGGCTAACTAATTGGTGTCTTGAGATACCTGGGGTATCATAACCCCGACAGTAGCCCCGGAGCGGTTTTGCGATCATGAAGTGATCGTGAAAGCACTGATATGCGCGTGCATGGAGCATGGGTTCGTAGTCGTGGCTAGCTCGAGCTTCGTTGCTCGACCCCTTGTGGGCTAGTGCGTTCAATGCGGTAGGTGGCTGTTTCATCCCACCCTGCCAGGACGCCCTGACGGTGCGGTATGTGACTACTGAGCCCAGCCATGTTAGTGTGTTGCGTATCGAGGTTCGTGACCCAAGCGGGGCAGAGTGGTCTCGTCGATGTTGTACCGGCTTTGCATTTTGGAGGGTCTCGATTTCCCCAATCTCACGCGGGCATCTGACATTGGATGTGACCTCCCATGGTTTGCCACGCGACGCGAGGGTCTCAGGCTGCTCAGTCCGCCCTTGGGCCTATAAATAGGGGCCTTCCTTCCATTTGAACTTCCTACAACTACTTCTACGAACTTGCTCTTAGTCCTTTTGAGGGGCTAAGCGAGGGAAAGAGAGAGAGATCATAAAGGGATGGTGAGGTTTCTTAGCATGTGACCCGCTGGGGGTCGCTCGTGGTGGCCGGAAGCCGGCGCTGCTCCTTCCTACAACTGGTGCTAGAAGGAGATTTGCCAGCAGGGGGGTAGGAGATGTTATGGGCACCAAGTTTGGTCATACGCAACCTCAGGCCTCCATCCTATCACCACTTCTTGCCCCAGACCTCGTTGGTTTGGATGCCCAAATTGGACGATGGCTAGGGACGCCTCCGGCTTCCTCCCAAATCCTATGCATAGACCGGCGATGTGTTGTGACCTTGGTGTGAGGTCATTTGACATCCACCTCGGGCCACTCGTGGAATGGGAGGAGGATGAAGTAGCACTGCCTTGTCACGCTGCCTGCGCTGAGCGAGGCGTGGTCGTGACACGGCTGCACTTTGGTAGCCGGCCGGTCTCCCTTTGTTGCCATGAGGATGGTTGTGGTTCCCGTAGGTGCTGGGTGGCTCCATGCTTCCTAGGAGTGCTTCTTGGAAGTCTCCTGGTGCACGTGGATGTCCCCTAGAGCTGTTGGGATTTTTGTCTCCGTCCCCCTATTTTGGCTGTGGGATCGTGATGGTTGCAGGGGATTAGCGAGGCAAACCTTGACCTCACCTTCCCTACTTTTGTAGCATCCGTCCTTTGGCCTCCAGTGGTACCACCATCGAGGTGGTACTGTACCCTTTGTACTTTTCTAAGCGGCACGGGCACTTTCGTACGCGCAGATACTTGAGGAAAGAGCTCTCCCCTCTAAGTATTGAGGCTTGCCTTGTGGAGGCAGCAAGCCCCTGTGCCTAGGGGTCATGGTTGTGCCTCTGATCTAGGCCCGCTAGAAGGGTTGTTGTGCCTTGATGATGCGAGGAGTCATTTCCCCGACCTCTTTTTGCACGGTTGTGAGGTTTTCTACGATCGCGTGCTGGCTCGTAGGTCTTGGACCTTTTTGCTTCTTCCACGTGACCGAGCCATGATCACACTTTGGGCTTTGCATTACTTCATGAGGAAGACACTGCTGCCTCACCCTGGCCATCTACTTCGTTGATCTCTCCCGGAGAGGTCGTGGACCTCTGTCGGTTTGTGAGTCCCCGGAGCTAGCCTTAGGTCTTGGACCTGGGACACAAGGAGGAATTGCTCGTGGCTTAGCCTAGATTTCTTACAGGGTCATGGGGACATGACTTTGTTTTTCCCTAGCGTCCTTGCCGACCTTGAGAGGTCATGTTGCCCTACTACAGGTGGGTTTGGTTTCTCCCCATGCAGGGAGAGGCATGTCCACCGTAGCCACGTGGTCGGAGTGGTACGCCTCGTCGGGGTCGATGGGTAGTTTGAGCGGGACCCGATATCCTCCCCAATCAACGTGGAGTTTGGCTGTGCCTCATCGAGAAACATCCCATAAATCATCGGCCATCAAATGCGTCGGTCCCCGACCACCTCCACAGTGGTCGGAGGGCAAGATGCCTCCCCCTAGAGGGGGTTAACCCGGGTGACTTCGAAGCAGATGACTCAAACACAGAGAGAGATGGTCGTGTGGCTCCGCACCATCGATTAGAGTTGCATGGGCCTATCTCACCCTGCCCCTATTCCTTTGTGGCCTCGAGCCCTTCTAAGGGCTGGCCGGAGAGTAGGTTTCCTAAGTGCGACATAGGGTCGCATGCGCTGTGGGTCGTTCTACGCATGGGTTCGGGGGGCGGTTAGCCTCTCCAGTCACATCATGGCTTAATGGCACCCACTCACGAGCAGTCGTGCACCGTAGAATGCGGGCGTGTAAATCGAAATGGTATGGAAAGAGTGGGAATACGTGAGGCTTACTTGGTTCGCGCTGCTGCGTGTGCAACCGTCGCTCCGCCTTCCCTCCGATCGCTTCACCTGCTCTACGAGATTTCCAAGGCAGTTAGTAAATGTGAGTGAGCACGTGTGCGCTTGAGGTATCCATCGTGGTTAATCCCTGTGTCTATAAATTAGGAGAAGTGATACAGTGGGAGAGTCATCTGCACTTGGGCCCCTATTTTGCTACTTCTTTCTCCTCGCTCTCATGCGCTCACGGATTCCTCTTCCTGCTAAGCCAATGGATCGCGGCAAGCATCCATGGGAGGAGTCAACGGAGGCTGGTGACTCACCGCCGCGTCTTCCAGCTCTTCTGCGCAAACAAGGGTGAATTTTCAAATAATGTTTGAGTTTGAAGTTTGACCTGTATTGACCGTGTACACTCCCAGGGCCGTTTCTCATGCCGCGACGGCGACTGGTGGTTCGTCCCACGCTTGCCGTGCTATGACCCCACTGACGGAGGGGTCGAGCTCATCGTCCTTGTCATTGTCTTCTTCGGATGATTGGCGGGAGTTCCACGAGCTCGTCTACGCGGTGGACGAGGCCCGCCAGCGCTACTCCGACGCCACCCGCGAAGTGGGCCGGCTGGAGCGCTGCCTTGACGCCGTCAGGGTGGCCCTCGAGGCCTTAGAGAGGGAGACCGCCGCCGCGCGGGCGGCGACCGCCGACGCCTAGGCCCACATTGTGGGTAAGGGCTCTCATCGTTTTATCGTCTTGTTTGTCATCCACAGCTTCTAACCTTCTTGTCGCCTTGTTGCCAGTGCTGGAGGAGCAGCTGGCGGCCTCTCGCCACAAGATCGAGGAAGCCCGCCTCCGAGAGGTTCTCCTGATGGAGGACCGTGAGCGGGCTATGGTGGCAGGAATCCGACAGGGAGCCAGCGTCGCCCTCGCCGCCATGCAGCTTCGCACCGGCCAGGACTTCCGTCGGGTGGAGCCTGGGTTCCTAGATCAGCCGGGCAGGCGGAGCGGGCGGAGCTGGTCGACGACTTTGCCGCGGCCGTGGCTGCCGTCATGGCCGCCGCTAATGTGGAGGACATCCTCCGCGACAGCGGCCAAGGGCCTTAGGCTGTACCTAGGGCCTTTTATGAATAAAAAGATCTTTTTAGCTTGTGTCTTCTGCTTCTTGATTTTTTCCTTTTTGCGCATCATCCTCTTCCCATGATTACCAACAACCTGATCGTTCGAATGCCATAGTCACGCAGCCCTGCCTAGGGATCGACCCACGGGTTTTAGCCCAGTGCGACTCTGTTTTCGTGACCGTGGTGTGTCCAATAACAACTTTGTATCTTTGGTCAAGGTATTCTGCCTTCGTTACATGAATACAGCGTGTGTCAACCTTCAATTTCAACGATTTCTTCAAACAAAAAAAAATCAATATCCTGCACCTAACTCCTGATATGTATGCTGCACAAGTCACCAGTGACCAATGGTGTCACCTTGAGTTTCATATTTCCAGACGAGGGGAGTCGACAAGAAAACATGAGATACTAGCATGCTACAAAATCGCTCTCAAGTCAGACTGTAGGGTATAACCTTTTAGGCGCCTCTTCAAGCTCCTACAAACTACGGGCATTCTGCCGAGTGTGCTTTCTCCACCTCCTCAACATATGAATGCAACCCCCAGCTCCTAACAGGCCATAGGACGCAAGACTCAGGATGGTTGAATTTGTGACGCGTCGATGGTGGGCGCCCTGCAGACGAAATAAATGATCTCAGCATTGTGCGAACATTTGCACAAAAATGTACGTTCACTCAAAAGAGGACTTCAGATGGATACCTGTAACAAGAAAACGAAGATGGCGGCATTTGCTAGTGACAGTGAAAAGCTCATCATGCCCCCACGCAGTTCATTTGGTAGGTACCTACAGTGATGCCAGCATTGTAAACAGAAGGTACTAGACTCTAATTTAAGCTTGATCGTAGTATCGTACTTGCACCAGTAACTTACATTGTTCTCAATCTTGCTAGTGAAGGTAAAATAAAGCCCACACATGCATGGAAGATGCAGAACACTATCACAAGTGGTCCAATCTCCTGTTGGATGAATATAACTTCTCATTAGACTTTGAATTCTAATTTCCAACTACATGTTGCGTTAGAGATATGCACAGGGTACCTGGTAATCATAAGCCACAGTAGACAAAGCGAGTCCAGCACCAATGTAAGCTATTGTTAAGCTGTCCTCATTCCGGAAGGGAGCTGCAGCTCCATAAAACCATGGAAAACCAGCACTTCCAAGCATTCTTGATGCCAAGAAACAGGGGTAAATTACTGACAGTTGAGCATACCTTCCGTCAGCCTGTGTGAATCAACAGATCTATGAGAACGGTAGCAGAATTTCAGCCTCAAGTTTCTGAAACACTACTCATACAGAAAACCAGGCAGAAAACTAGCGGGAAGAACTGAGAGTCATACCACTATGGTTGGTGCCCAGAGAAGCCAAAAGGTTGAGACAGCAAAATGGATGCTTGCTTGAGCTAAGACCAGGATCAGTACTCTTTTGTCTGAAACACATTAATTATGGTCAGAAATGGAAATGGAACATGCAAGCACTGAAAAGTTTAACCTGCAACAATCATGATTCACGAGTTCATATTGTGAGCGATGGAAAAGCTGCTTCCTTTTATGCATTTTTCACATCAGAATTCAGAAATATCTCAAATTTGACTAAAGCAATTCCCCGTATTCTAAATTATTTTCGACAAACTCATAAATATCTAGCAGTGCGCCGCACAGAGGTCATTTTTTTTTCGATTGTAATATGCATGGTCAATATTCAACAAAGTCAATGCTGATATCTTTAAAAAGGTTACAAAACTGCACGTGTTTTATAATGAAATCGTGAAGACTACTACAGATCAAATACAATGCCATCAAAAACATTGGTCAACTTATATTTATGTATCTAAATATGGCAAAATTTGCTCCTGGACACTATTAATGGAATATAGATAAAGGTTTACCAACAGAAATGAGAAAGAAAGCACTGGAGCAAGCAAGATGACTCACCACTCACCTCTGAGGACATGGGCAAAAAATGATTTTTGGTAGCTCCCAATGGCAGATGCATGTTGACTGGTACTCTGACTGGTACTTGATGCATTTCTGATATACAGAATCCCCACTACCGATAGTGTGGCTGCAAATGCATAGGGGAGCAAGAATCTAGTGTCATCATCGCTAAACAATACATTTGTAATTTCTTGACTTCCAATAAGGGACACCGATTCAAAGAATGTCATCAGCCAGAAGGTATCAAACAGCAGATCTTGCTTCTGGTCTTGCTGAAAAGTCAGGATCAAGCACTCAATGATTTATACAACATAGAGAACACAGTAATAGCACATAAGTGTTTCAAAAAATACACAAACCTTCTCATGCTCCAGCACAAGCCACGTCTCAAAACAGAAAGAGAACACTGAAGAAGCAAAAGCCAGAATGAAATTGTTGATCCATGAACAACGAAGCACACTGAAACTCTTCACAACACCTACTGCAAGCTGAAGTACCCAGTACAATATGCAAGCCCTTCGTGGTCCTCTGTAATCATCAGTGAAAAGAACGTTATAGCTACTACTGTAAAGATAAAAAAAACATAGACTGCTCACAGCTGTATCACATAACAGTAACTGTGCAAGGATACATGTAGCTTAGGGAACAAAAAACTACACACGCAAAGAGAAGAGAAAACTTAAATCATACCAAGGTGTAGATTATACTCTGCAATTCCTACTTGCCTAATATATCATCCAAACTTCACCATGAAGCACCAGACTAGGTTAAAAACTAACAAGCAAGCCGACCCAACCAACAGAAATCTGTGATTGGTGGGAAGAGGCAGGAAAGAAACAGGAGGATCTTCGAAAGCATCTCGCGAGATGCACGGCAGGTGGCCTGTAGAGCCAAGAAGGACATCGACCTATACACAAGGGTGTTTAACAATTTGCCTTAGTCGAGTGTCTGCTTCATTGCGTGCGCCTGTGGGTGCCTGGAGCCTTCGGGCTCTTTCTGTACATAAAAATTTTTCTATCTTAATTGAGAGACAGAGCTCCTGCCATTTGTTCAAAGAAAAAAACTAACAAGCAATGCATATTCAGGATATTTATGTTGTACCCAGACAAACAGTTTTAGGTCCTCATAGTTGTCATGGAGGCACAAGGGTCATAAATGACATGAAAAATTAATGGCTAGTAAATTAGGTGATAAGTGGTAAAGAAACAGAAATCTGCTGGATTCAGAAACACAGGTGCAGATGTTGGTTCTCAATCACTCCCCATCACAAAACCACAAAATGACAATGCTAAGCCTACTCCAGTACAAGACCTTGAAGACATCTCTAGGCTATGATCAATCAGTTGGCATCCGATCTAGTTCCAACAAACATTTGTAAACAGAAAAAGGTAACATGTACCAAGTACTACTATTCAGTGCCTTGTTAGTCAATTACTCCGTTTAAACACCGAATCAGATCTCGGATCAAAGACTAATTTGAAATGCACTGCTATGACACCAAACAATACGGGAGGTTTTAACAGGCTATGGAAAATGTTACACCACCTAAATTAAACTCATACTCACACAACTGGCAAGTTGAGCAAAAGTATTCATCACCAAACCTTACATTTTGTCAGAGATGACGCCAGAAATGGCACCGGGGAACAGCGCAGCTGAAGTGGCAGAGGCAAGGCGCGCGGCCATCTGCTCCCTGCCAAGCCCACACCGCACGAACTCATCCTCCCCGAACACGGAATGGATCCCTTCAACCACTGCACAACAACAACAACCAACACCGCCCGATTAGGCGCGGCACGGTGGCTCGACAAAGGCAGGAGATCGGAGGGGCGCGCTAGCTACTCACCGGACGCGAGGGAGAAGAGGACGAGGAAGGCGCGGCGGAACCGGAGGAAGGGGGCGGTGCCCACGTCAAAGGGGGAAGAGGACCCGGTGGCGTGCGCCGCTGTCCTCGCGGAGAAGTAAGGGAGGAGGAGCACCGCGGCGAGCGCGGCGGCGGAGAGGAGCGGGTAGGCGACGGGGGTGAGCGCCCACTCCTCCCGCTCGATCACCACCCCCATCGCCGGACTCAGTTCGTCTCCTCGGGATCCGTGGCTGGGTCGCAGGAGTTGGAGGAGCGGGGTGGCAGTGGGACCGGACGGCGAGGTAGTGGTGTCGCCGTCGCCGACGAGATCGACGGGGAAGGGAAGAGGAGGAAAAGGGAATGGGACGACGAGAAGTTGGGTTGTTGGGCCAAGGCCGAAGGACGTATTTGGGCCGGTCCAATTATTGGCACATCTACTTTTTTTATAAAAAAAAAAGAGAGAGGGGGAGAGAAAAAGGTTTTTTCCGCTTTATTAGAACATCTACTCTCCCTAAATTTTGAACTAAATTTCGGCGACCAAAACTGAAAACAGAACGTTTCCAATTTCTTGGAATTTAGTTCATTGTTAACGACGAATATAGTTTAAACTGAAACTAACCGTTCCCGTTCAAATGTATATCATTTTATTGTCATAAGTTAAACTTATTTAATTTTGACCAAGTTTATACAAAAGTATATTACTCCATTCATTTGAAAATGCGGATCATTTTAAATTTTTTATCAAGAAAAAAATTCTTTTTTGAACATGTTTATGTAAAAATTCATCAACACTCATTTGGTAGCTTGTTGTTGGTTGGTTGGTTGGTTGGTTACAATAACAAGTGGAAATCAATTGTAAACCATTAATAAAATTTGTTTAGGCAGAGGAAAAACCTTGCAACTCAATTTGACAAAGGTAAAACAGGACGTGTCGGTATTTTGTAAATCAGACTAGTAAATTTATACGATTGCTGCGCTGTTCTAGGAAGACGATGGTAGCATCCAAAAGACACAAAGGTTTATACTGGTTCAGGCCGAGGCCCTACATCCAGTCGCAGAGATGATCGAGTGCGTGTTTCTCGCTTGAATGCTCTGAAGTTCTTACAATTAGGGTGTAAGAATGGTGGAAGAGGTAGAATAACCTAAGCTATGCGGTGGGCTGCTCGAAGGGAAGCTTTAGGAGCCCTACTACTATGAAGAATGAATGAAATGGTAGAGGATGGATCGGATCCCCAAGAGGGGTGCCCTGGCTGCCTTTATATAGAGTTCGGGGTCAGGGCGCATACAATGTAATAGGTTCTCCCGACTAAAGGGTCGTGAGCCTGAGGGAGGGCCTAGCTAACTTGGCTTGCAAGCTACGCCGTCTTATGGAGCATGTCCAGGCGTGGCTGTCGTCATGGTATTGTGGCCACGTCGCGACATGGCATGTGTGGTGCTACTGTGATGGCCGTGGCGGCACTGTAGGCACGATGATAGTTCGCCAGCCATCCTATGCGACATGATCTCCGCTGTGGCCTTCGTCATCGTCTCCTGGTTTCCTGAGACGTCGTACAAGAGTTGGTGGCCGTCCCTGGGTCGTTGATCGCCTTGTTGTCTTGAGTAGCGGGGGGGCACGATCCATATCATTGGGGTCATGGTTCCCGCCAGCCTAGATGGCCTATAAGTCAATGCCCTCGTCGTGGATCCCATCCCGTAGTGGGTAGGATCGTACTCTTGTCTCGTCGGGCCATATCTGGCCAGTGGTCATCGTACCTGTCATCACCGCTTTGGGCTGCATTGTCTTGTCTATGTAGCGTGGCACGGGGATGGTGTCTGACCGGACTGAGGTGACTATTGTCCCCTCTGTCCTTACGCTAGACCTCTCCCCATTCCTTCCAGGGGTCATGACGGGGGAGAGGTCGTGCGCCTTTCCAGCGCCATGCGGCTAAGGCAGGAGGGAGGGGTCATGGCTGACCCTGGCCTTATCATCCGGTCTGGCTTGCTTGGCTTAGCTGGGCCTCGGTCGTTTGGGCTTTTTCTAGCTGGTGTATTGCGGACCACGTGGCCTGCTAACTAATCGGTGCCTTGAGACACCCCAGGGTTATAACCCCGACAGAACGAGAAAGAAAGCAAGAAAGTAACCTTGCAAGACCTGGGGATACTCAATGCAACTCACATGGTAAAACATTGTGTTGCCGACCTCGAGAGGTCGTGTTGCCTTGTTACAGACGGGTTTGGTTTTGCCCCACGCGGGGAGAGGCATGTCCACCGTAACCACGCGGTCGGAGCGATACGCCTCGTCAGGGTCGATGGGTAATCTGAGCGGGACCCGATATCCTCCCCAATCAACGTGGAGTTCGGCTGTGCCTCATCGAAAGACGTCCCATAAATCGTCGGCCGTCAATCCCTTTGGTCTTCAACCACCTCCGCAACGGCCAAAGGGCAAGATGCCTCCCCCCAAAGGGGGTCAACCCGGGAGACTTCGAAGCAGATGACTCGAACATAGGGAGAGACGGTGATGTGGCTCCGCACCACCGATTAGAGTCATGGGGGCCCATCTCCTCCCTGCCCCTATCCCTTTTGTGGCCTTGAGCTCTTCTAAGGGCCAGCCCAAGAGAAGTTTTCCTAAGCACGACACGGGTCGTGGTTGCGGTGGGTCGCTCTGCGCACGATCCTGAGGGGTTGTTTGCCTCCCTGGTCACATCGTGGCATAGTGGCACCCACTCACGAGCGGTCACGTGCCATGAAGTGTGGGCGCGCAAATCGACGTCATTTGAAAAAAAGTGGAGGCATGCAAAGCTTACTTGGTTTGGGCCGCTGCGTGGGTAACCGCCGCTCCGCCTTTCCTCCGATCGCTTCACCTGCTCTGCATGGTTTCCAAGATGGTCAATAAATGAAGGTGAATACTGGCACGTTTGAGGTATCCACTGTAGCTGGTTACTATGGCTATAAATTGGGAGAACTGGTGCGGCGGAGGGAATCATCTGCTCTTAGATGTTTGCCCTGCTGCTTCTTTCTTCTTGCTTTTGGGTGCTCGTAGCCTCCCTTCCTCTCCGAGCCGATGGATCATGATAAGCATCCGCGGGAGGGGTTGTCGGAGGCTGGTGGTCTGCCGTTGCATCTCTGAGGTTTGCTGCGCGAACAGGGGTAAGTGTTTAAGCAATGTTTTGAGTTCGATGCTGAACTGAGTTGACCATGAGCACTCTTTAGGATTGTCTCCCACACCGCCTCAGGTGGCGCTACTGGCGTTGCTCTGGTTGGGGCCCCGCCGGGGGTGGAGTCGAGCTCGTCTTCGTCGTCTTCGAACGGCCATCGAGAGTTTCATCGCCTCATCCACGAGGTGGATGAAGCTCACCGGTGGTCTTCCGTGGCTGCCCACGAGGTGAGGCGGCTAGAGCTCAACCTTGATGTCGCTAAGGTCGCTCTTGCTGCCTCGGAGGGTGAGTTTGCCGTCGCACAGGCGACGATCGCCGTCGCCCAGGCCCGCATCGCAGGTAAGGGTTTCCTTCGTCTTGACATTGGGATGGATGTCTGTAGCCTCTAATCTTCATGTTGTCTTGTTGCCAACATTGGAGGAGCAGCTAGCGGTTTCTCGCCATGAGGAGGAGGCGGCTCGCCTCCGGGGGTTCATCGTAGCGGAGGATCGTGAATGGGCGGTGGTGGCAGGGGTGCGGCAAGGGGTCGGCGTCGCCCTTGCCACCATGCAGCTTTGGACCGGGGTGAACCTCCATCGGGTGGTGCCTGGGTTCCCGGAGTGCATTCGACCGGAAGAGCGGGCTGAGCTGGTCAATGATTTCACTGCCGTCACGGACACCGTTGTCGTTGTCGTGGATGTGGAGGAAATCCTCCGCGACGGTGGCTAAGAGCCCTGAGGTGTTCTTGGGGTCTTTACTAATATTAAGTACAAGCCAGTTCCTTTTGGCCCGTGTTCCATGATTTTCCTATGTGCCACCTGAAAGGATTAAGATGCCCAAGAGGGGGGTGAATTGGGCTAATTCTAAATTTTTTTACAATAATTAAGCCCTACACCTAGCCCATTTCACACCTTATGCCTAGAATGTGTTTCTATTGTTCTCCCGCACAAAAGTTTTGCACCCTAGGTTCCAATCCTACTCTAGCATGGCAATTCTAGAAATGTAAAGACATGAAATGAATTGCTCAAATATAAATGCTCAAAGTAAAGAGAGGGAAATGAACACGTCGATGTTTTCCCGATGTATCAGAGAGTCGCCACTCCCCACTAGTCCTCGTTGGAGCACCCGCACAAGGGTGTAGCTCCCCCTTGATCCGCGCAAGGATCAAGTGCTCTCTACAGGCTGATTCTTTGACACTTCGTCGCGATGAATCACCCACAACTGCTCACAATATGACTTCGGGCATCCACAAGCTCCGCCGGATGATCATTAAGCTTCCAATCACCACCGAGCCGTCTAGGTGATGGCGATCACCAAGAGTAATAAGCACAAACTCTCACTTGACCAAGACAAGCCTAATGAGAAAGGTGGATGCACACTTGCACTCCCTATGCTCTTTCTCTTCCTACTAGGCTCTTTCTCTTCCTTGCACACCACTAGGACCAAGACAAGCCTAATGAGAACGGTCATTAATCTTTGATTATCAAATCTCAATCACCCCACTAGGCTCTTTCTCTTCCTTGCACTCCAAAGGTGTTTCTCAGCTGAACAAATGGGCAAGAGACCTCCCATGGACGAGTGGAGTAAGTATTTATACCCCCTCATTCAAAACATAACGTTTGAAGACTGAGTCATCACTCTGCGGGCTGACCGGATGCTCCGGTCAGTTGTGCCCGCCACTGTGTTAGAGAGAGCTGTTAAGCTCTGACCAGCGTCCGGTCAGCACCCACTGGACGCGTCTAGTCAAGAAAAAGCCTCTCTAGAACCTCTCTGGAGTAGACCGGACGCAGACACCCCAGCATCTGGTGCTCCTCCACTCAGCGTCCGGTCAGTACCAGACGACTACAGTTGATCAAATGAACTGACTGGACTCACCCTCCAACGTCCGGTCACAACCAGACCAGCGTCCGGTCAGTCATTTGACCCTCCATTCACTTTCAACTCAAAATCCTATGTGAATGAAGTTGACTCCAATTGATCTTAGGGCTATTCCTGAGCTACCTAGTGCTAAGTTTGGCAAGTGTGCACCACACCTAATCCATTAGACTCACTTAAGTCAAGCTACTAGTCCATACCCCCCTTAATAGTACGGCCAAAGGAAAAA